ACTCTTTCCTTAGCCAAATCCAAATTGTCTCCTCCTTTGAAAATGACAGCCCTTCTACCTTTGTTTGCTTTTATCGATACACTTAATTATGACTAATAAAATTCTCCCAAACTAACCAAGCTTCAATATCCGAAGCTACAGCCGTGTCTGGAATATCAAATGTAAGATCTAGTGGATCAATAGGGTTTCTTCCATAAACCATCTCTACTTGGATGCTTGACTTGGGACCGGTCATAAGCAAACTCCACTAAGGATAGAAGGAGGTCCTATTATTCAAGTTTCTTACCAAGATAGCAACAAAGTAGATTCCCAAGACTTTTATTAATAGCTTCCATTTGTCCATTGAATTTGAAGATGGGAAGCTCGACTATATTGAACTTTGGTTCCCCAATTTGCACCAAAATAACTTCCAAAAATTGCTCAAAAATTTATCCCAATATGAAGTGATAGTACATGGAATACCAAGTAAAAGGACCACCTCCTTGAAGTGAAAATCAGCAATGTGAGAAGCGTCTAATGAGAACTTGCATGAAACAAAGTGTATCATCTTGAAGAATCTATCCACCACTGCCATGATAAAATCCTTATGTCTTTGAGTGCGTAGAAAACTAACAACAAAATTCAAGCTAACATTTGTCCAAAGATATTCAGGAACATGCAAGGGAATGTATAAACCTGAATTTTGAGACGTTGTCTTGGCTATATGACAAGTTGGGCACATCTTCACATGACGATCCACATCTTTACACATAGAGGGCCAATAAAATTTATCTTGTAAAAAAGCTAGAGACTTGTCTCTCCCAAAATGGCCGCCTAGGCCCCCATCATGGCCTTTCACTAATATAGTTTCTCTAGTGGAATACTTAAGAATGCATAAACAATTTCCTTTGAACAGAAAATCATTTTTGAAGTGGAAGGTTTTGTAATTTCTGACTATATATTGTTTTCATAAAACTCAAACATCAAAATCCTTGTCATGCATTCCTTGTCTCAACTAAAAGCCCACAACACGTGCCTACATGACTGACAGAATAGTTGTGGCGGCTTCTTAGTACACCAGCTACTTGATTAGAAAGTTCTGATTTGTGCTTGAGGATAAAATTAAAGGTTGAAATTCATTCAACCTATGTGTTGTGCCTTTCTTTTAGCTTATTTTGACTCTGGAGATATTTGAGGCTTCGTGGTTTGTATAGAGAACAAATTCTCTAGTTAAAAGATAATGACTTCAATGTTGTTGAACGCTTACGACAGAATAAAATTCTTGGTCATAGAATGAATATTTCTTTCTGGAATCGTTGAGCTTATTGCTGAAGAATGTTGCAGGATGCCCTTGTCGACTAAGGACTGCTGTAATACCGATGTCAGATGCTTCACACTCCATCTTGAGCAAAAGAACAAATTTTAGAAGCTTCACGACTGAAGCTATACATAAAACCTATTTCAAATGATCAAAGCCTAGTTATGATTGCTCGGTCCAACAAAATGGGCTGCCTTAAGTAATTCGATCAGTGGGGAGCGACGATACTAAATTTCTTGAGGAATCGGGAATAGAAAAAGGCCAATCCAAAGAATTGCCCAACTTCTGTAAAAAATGTGGGTGTCAGCAAGTCCCATACAACAAAAATTTTGTTGGAATCCATCTCCATTGTAGCTGTCGAGAACACAAATCCCAAGAAATTGATGTGGGGAACTAGGAATTCAAACTTAGCATTATTATCAAAAAGCTGCCCTGACCGTAGGACCTCAAAAACACCTATTAAATGATGTAAACATTTAACCTTGTTAGATTTATAAATCAAACTATCGTCAAAATAGATCGCCACAAACTTTCCCATAAAATGTTGGAAAAGTTGATTCATTAGTCAAGTGAATGTGCTAAGAGCGTTAGAAAGCCCGAAGAGCATCACCTTTCACTTGTATAGCCCATCTCTTGGCTTGAGCATTGCTTTCCACTCATCTCCTTGCCCCACATGAATTTGATGAGACACGCTTCAAAAGTCTATTTTGAAGAAAAAAATTGCCCTTTTTAACTGATCAAAAAGGTCATCCAATCGATGAATGGTAAACTTATATTTGAAAGTGATTTTATTTACAACCAGACTATGAATGCACATGCTTCATGGTTCATTCTTCTTTGGAATTAAGAGAGACGGACTATCACTATGCCCCACCAAGCCTTTCTTGATTAATTCATCCACTTGGAAATGAAACTCATGTTCCTTTGGAGACATCCTATATACAGGTTTGTTGGAGAAGACCAAACCAGGCACAAGTCTCATAGGAAGTAATCTTGTTGAAATGCCCGCCGAAAAAGATGTCTTCAAGCTATTGTATCAATCCCTGGACTTGCAGGATATTGTGTCGATGGATGTCCTGAAGTTTCTATGATGATTAGAAAGTACATGTAGTTGCCTCCTTCATGCCTTTCAAAAATTCAGTCCCTGTTTAAATTTCCTCCATTGCATCACGTGTTTGAATTCCTTCTTTGATAAATGAATGTTTGCATATCCATCATGAATCATATGGTGATCATATCGTCACGGCTGACATAGCAATATATTACAAGCGTCCATAAAAATTACGTCACATAAAACATGCTCCTAAAGTTTTCGACTGATAAAAAATTGCACGAAGCATTGCCAGGGGACTTTAATCTCCACCCACTTTTTGAGCCACGCGATTTGATAGGGATGGGGATGAGGTTGTGTAGTGAGCACAAGCTTCTCCACTATAGTTGTTGAAACCAGGATTTTACAACTTTTGCCATCAATGATAGGGTTACAAACCTTGTCTCAAATCGTGCACTAGGTTCTAAAGATGTTATACAACAACCACTTTTTATTAGAAGAATGTTACACTTAGAAGATGCCTTATCACAAGTAATTCCCCTTCATTTGCATATATGACTTGCTCCCTCATTAAATTGTTGTCTTCCTCTTCTACAACATCTTCCACTTGTTGAGCTTCCTATGACAAAAAAATGACGCGTCGATTTGGACAATTTGAGGCTATGTAGCCAAATCCATCACATTTGAAGCATAATATACCGAACGGAGTTACTCCCAACTCTGTGGAAGCAATTCCACGTGGCTGAGTGGAAGTTTTGCTACTATTATCAGCCTTCTATCTGTCGGCCTACATCCTGTTTGGACTGATTGGCTAGAACTATCCAAATTAGTGGTATGAAAGTGTACGGAAGTGTACCTACCTAATTTCTGCTATTTTTCTGCCTTCACGGACAAGCTAATCACATCCTGGAGTGTCCAAAAAAGCTGAAGTTTAACCACATTGGCTATAGATGGTCGTAGACTACCCAAGAAACATGCAATTGTGTGCTCTTTGAGTCCAGAAAGGCTACATTTCAGCCTTATTTGTTTGTATTCAGCAGCATATTCCTCCAAGGACCATTCTTGTTGATGAAGATGGTTTAACCAAATGAACACGTCTTGATGATAGTATTCCAAAAGAAATTTATGTTGTAATTCTTTCTTTTATCTTGCCCCAAGTGACAATCTTGGATCGACCCTCCTTCTGCCACATTCTCTTCATATTTTCCCACCAAAGAGATGTGTTCTTCCTCAATTTAATGGCTACAAGATTCACAATTTATTCTTGGAAAACTTTTAAATTAAGAACTCTCTCTACCATACATAGCCAAATAATACATTCATTCGGATCTAGTCAGCCTTCCAAAATCTGGAATGTCAATATTGATTCTAATTTAGTAACCTTGCGGTGTCCTTCCCTCCTTCATTCATGTAAGGCCCCCGCCTCATCGTTGGAAAATTATTGGTGAGAAGGAATTTCACCTTCTTCCTCCTCCACTGCATCCGAGCCGACTTACAAGATTCTATTCTCAGAGTTTCTTTGCTTTAGACCACAAGCCGCTTCTGTGGTCGTCAGATTTGACATTGTATGTCTTCTACAACCAGTTCATGATTGGGTTTTGCAATATTTCTTCGTGGCGGCATATTTGAGAGCAGAACGAACTACAATGAACGCAGGGACAGCAATGGGATCAAGAAGCAAATCACGGACAGATTTTTATCCGCCACTTCTGTGCAAGAAGTGGTAACAAGAAACCAAATAACAGACTTCTGCGGCTGGCCAGAAGGAATCCAAATGTCTGGACAGCAATGGAACCTGGTACCAGACAAGCAACCCAATTAAGGACTGCTCTGAAACCAAAATGATGCAACCGCATAGGAAAAAAAAACTAAACTAATTCTACCTTGCTAAAAAAACTCCCTCCCAAAACAGCCCACAGAACTTTTATAAGCCAAGGCCCTTCCTAATTACAATTATACCATCCAAAGAACTAAAAACTATAGAAACACAAGACACATTTCAAAAAAACTGAAATAAATCCTCCATGAGGATACTAGGACAAGAACCACTTCAAGCTCCAGCATCACCCTGGCCCAACCAAAACTACTACAGTGGAGCAGGGGAGTGGAGAAAGAAATCTATACATATTTAAGTGGCATAAGCTTGCTTGTTCATATTCATCCCCACATGCCCAGGTCCAAAAGTGTCCCCATAAGTATAAAAGGATGCAATTTCAGAACTATGTAGACTCCTAAAATGTAGTACATTAGCATGCAAGAATTTAAAACGTATGTTATTGCTGAACAAGCAGATTCCATGGTACAATTTACAAACATAACCCATAAGAAATCAAGGTAGAAGTTCTAGTGCTACCTCTTTTTGTCTTGTTTGTCCCTCAAAACTAAATGGCTTCAGTACAATTGCAATGGCCAATCCACCCACCGCTTTGACACCATATAGAAGATCGACTGCTGCAATTTGATCCAAATCATGTCCGGCACTGGCCACCTGATAAGCAGACAAAATTATTTCTTGTAGACCACCTAAAACAGCATGGCTTGGTTTATAATGTAAATATTATATTAAAAAAACCCCTAATTTGGATTCAAAATTACTAAATAAGTTGAAAATTGTTCATTAGCTATAACTTCATCATAAGCACTCGCATGCATCCACTGCAAAGCTTGCATGCCCCTCTGGTATGCTAGGCGAAACTTGCACTTGCTTGCATGCACCCATTCTGTCCCCAATTCTCATGCTCAGCTCTCGCCACAAGCCCATGCACTCTCTTCTGCTCTCTAAAAAAACATCAAGCTTTTCCTACACTCACAATTTGGCCCTCATGTTCTTCAACTTCTTTCCTTCTATAAATTTATGCTATTCCTCTCACATTTGTTGTTATACCCATTCATTCCTTTAGTTCCTAATGGTGCCCGCCTGTCATCATGTCTACGCCCCTTGACTTAGATCCACTTCTACCCCCATCAGATATCAGTGAGAATGCTACTGAACGACCTTACCAAATTCAGCAACTCCACAAGGAAGTTGGAGAAACGATATCTAAAAAAAACCACAAATATCAAGCACTGGCTAATAAATCCAAAAAAATGTAACCTTTAAAGAAGGAGACCTCGTGTGGGTCAGCCTTAAGAAGCGACTTCCCGTAGGAGCACACAAGAAACTCAAACTCAAAGTCAAAAGACATTTCCGCATACTTAAGAAGCTCAATGACAATGTTTACAAAATTGACCTACCAGGCGACTCCAGAATTTATGTTACATTCAATGTTGCGAATCTCACTCCATACTATGAGAAACCTGAAGCTTCAACAGCTAATGTTGAAGCTCCCCCAACCCAGAGAGAGTGCCGAATGAATTTTTCATCATTTCTGACTTTCAGTACTTCAAGCATTTTTTTCTAATTTTTGGTCCAGATTACTGCTATGGGTTGGACAGAACTCACTTTTTGAATTTTCCTATCTATCCCTAGGGGACTTTGTCGGGAACAAATCCTTTTTTAATGACCTTTGTTCTTGTACAAGATTTGCATGTCTCTCCAATTCTTTCCGTTTATTTGGCAAATTACCTCTTTTATCATGGGAATTACCAGCGATTTGATCCCCTTTCTGGAGTATATAGGCAGCTTCTTGTTAGTGTGACCTTTTCGTCAGATTTTATTTGTATTACTTTTCTTACAAAACAAAGGAAAAACTCGTTGCATATTTCATATTGGAACTTTTAAAATATACCATGGAAATGAATATTTAGCAACACGCCTCAAAATAGAGAGAACTGTGAGGAGGATCCATAATATAATTTTTGGTGATGCGTGCAAGAAAATTCGTGACGGTAGAGCAATAGATTATCGTCTTAGCGTTGCCTAAAAATTCAGCACACACAGATAAAAAAAAAGAAATAAATAAAAGGAGATGCCTCGTCTTCTTTACATGGAAAACTCTTGAAAGATGAAATACCACGGGGTGTCTAGCCCAGTTAAAATAATTCATTATGAATAAAAAGCACAAATGTCAATTCTTCTCCTAAATTTAGGAAGATAAAATTACAAAGTTGTATAATTATAATATGGGTGCAGCACTTTGTGACTGCAGATTGCAAAAATCATTGTTGATTATTGTGAAGGTAATAGTCTGTCGTGAATGTTGTAGATAGTTGCAACAGAAGTGTTGATTGTTTAGTGAAACCGTAGTTAGCAGTTGCGGGAGCTATGAACCACATAGGTCATAGTGAGTATGAATGACGTTATTAGACCGTTGGGATCGGAGTCGGGAGTTGCACGAGCTATGAACCACGTAGGTCGTAGGGGCAAGTATGAATGATGTGCGGGGGTCAAAGTCGGGAGTTGCATGAGTTAATGACGACATAGATTGTTGAGGCGAGTATTAGTGGCGTCCCCGCGTCGGAATTACAAGCTGCATGAACTGATGACCACGTAGGTCGTTGTTGACACATGAACCGAAGTGATGAGCTCTTATCCCACAAACAAGAATGACTACTAGATTTTCCAAGTTATAACATTAACTGACGGCGTTTGGTGGCGACGATCGAAGGTGGTCGGCGACGGTCGGCGGTGATCGGCGACGGTCGGAGGCGATCGGCGATGGCTGATGGCGGTCTACGATGGTCGACAGAGGTGGTGGACGGCGATTTGCGATGGCTGACAATGATGGTCAACAGCGGTCTGCGATGGTCTACGGTTGTCGACCGTGGTAGACAGCGGTCAGCAATCAGAGGTGATCAACAGTGGTCGGCGATGGTGTTGAGCTACGGCTCCTCCTCAAGACCGCAAGCACTCTCTCTAGGCTTTAGCTACTCCTCATGTGATGGGTGCGGATCTATTTATAGCGTGTTGGGTGTAATTAAAGCAGGAATATGAACCATTTTGATCAGACGGTCCGGAGAGCTTCTCTCAATCAAACGGCATTTAATAGACATTTGGATGCATTAATGATGTCGTACTTGAGTGATCTTGGGCTAGTTGAATTCATCTTATCGAGAAGCTCGATTCGACTATAAACTTATCAGATTCGGCATCTGTTTGACCTTTCAAATAAGTCCAAAAATCTTTCAAGAACAGTTTAATGACTTGAATTGGGCTTGATTTGACTCGGATTGGACTGACTTTAATATCATTAGGTTCGTCTCATCGAGCTGGTGAGTTTGACTATAAGTTTGTTGAAATTGGAGCTTTGGGTGAATTTTTATCAAGGTTTGAACATCCCTTGCTCAAAAAATTATCTCGAGATCCGCGCTATGCTTCGAGATTCGTGAAGGATAATGAAAATTTGTTGGTGGCGTATCATCTAGGCAATGTAACAATTTTCCACTCCTCTCGTTTCAAAGATGTACTCTCATCTACATCTCTCGAAGTTTTGTTCAATATCCAAGATCAAGTATTTACATAATGGATTCCAAAATGCAACAAGAAGCATAAGCATTCAAAATTTCAAACAAGTTCAAAACCCAAGCTGTAATTACATTGTAGCAAATCTTTAGTGGAATTATAAACGTGAATTCAAATTAATTTTTTGCAAAGATCACAAAAAATTTGAAAATGTTTAAACATTGAGCTAGCGCAATTAACAAGCATTCATTTATTAAAGACGAGTGAAACCTTCCATCCCAGCTACAAGGAAAAGACAATTAAGAAGAAAGAAAAGAACTTACAAGAATGGTTGCTGGCAAGCATAAATGCGGTGCTGCAGGAAATTCAACATTTCTAATAACCACATCTGAAACATACACAAAATCATGGATTAGAAGTCTATCAAAAAACCTGGACACAAAATCATTGACGGAAAACTAATATATTTTTTAAACATGATATGCTTGAGATAAGCTTAATAATGGAACACATGTGATGGAAATGTATCAAATTTCCTCATTCCCGTCCTCTCATCCCAACCGAACTCAAAAGTCTCATGATTTTGAAAGATACTTTTGGACTTCCAAAACCAGTGTAATTTCTTTAATAGTCCAAACAAATAATTCAACAGAAATCATGTTATTGTATCTTTAAATTTCTTAGGGTTTACTGATTTTCAAGCTGTGAAGGAAAACTACATATTTCTCTTATTCCCCTATTTAAAGCAAATGTTATCTACTTATATACAATCCAATCTCCATAGATTATCCTGTAATTAAATCTCCTCTAATTAGATTACCAATTTATTAGATTTCTTAAAATAAAACTTCCAAATATAGAACCATCAAATCTATTATTTTGCATAACACTCCCCCTTAAACTGGAGTATAGATATTTATTATGCCCAGTTTATCAGAAATATAAAGATGTTTCCTAAGTGTTCCACAGTTTTTACATAAGCTGTAGAAATCAAACAATATTGAAATAAATACAGTCTATTTCAATGTGCTTAGTGCATTCATGGAAGACAAGGTTTGAAGCAATATGGATTGCAACTTAGTTATCACACCACAACTTTGTTGTAATTGTCATCTTAAAACACATTTCGGCCAGCATTTGAGAAACCCACATCAATTCACTTAAAGTTTGTGCCACTGCTCGATATTCAAATTCTGCATTGGATCGGGACACTACATTTTTGTGTCTTACTCTCTCATTAGACCAAAATACCTCCAACAAAAATATAATATTCAGTAATAGATCTCCGATAAATCTTAGAACTTGTTAATCTGCATTAGAGAAATATTCAACATTTTTATGCCAGTGATGATGATACATAATACATTGTCCAGAGCTTTTTTGAGGTGACATAGTACTTGTATCAAAGCAAGCCAATGATAGACTGTGGAAGAAGACATGAACTAACTTATAGTGCTCACTGACAAGCCATGTCAGGGAGAGTCACTGTGAGACAGTTTAGTTTTCCCACTAATTTCCTATATCGTTCGGGATCATTAAAAGACTCGTCATCCTTGGTAAGTTGCTAATTAGGAAACATCGGAGTATTGTGTGTTTTGACAGCTAATTTTCCGGTTTATGCTAACAAATTCAAAACATACTTCTGTTAAGATGGAAAGATACCCTTCTTGCTTTTTGATATCTCAATCCCCAAGAAGTATTTTAAGAAGATCTTTACTGTTGAACTGATTTTAAAGAAATGATTTTAATAATAAGATTTCATGCACATCGCTCACAATAATAATAATGTCATTAAGATACACCACCAATAGAGTAATCCTATAAGCAGATTGTTTGTAGAAATAGTGTAATCCTAAACTCTTCTACTGCTTGGCTAAATTTTTCAAACCATGCACGAGAACTTTGTTTTACTCCATATATGACTTTTAAAGATGACATACTTTATCATACTCCTCCTTAGCAATAAACTGAGGAGATAACTTCATGTATACCTTTTTTAAACGATCACCATGCAGAAATGCATTTTGTACATCAAGCTGGTGCAAGGTCAATTATTCATTATCTAAGGACAAAAATAAACGAGCTGAAATCAATTTAGCTACAAAAGGGAACATGTCCAAATAGTCAATCCCATAAATTTGAGCATAGCTTTTAGCAAACAGCCAAGCTTTGAGAAGAGCTATAGATCCATCAGAATGAAATTTAACTACAAATACACATTTGCAGCAAACACCCTTCTTACCAGAAGGTAGTTCAGCTAGTTCTCAAGTTTTATTTTCAATTTAAGGCATTCAATTCATCAAGCGTCGCTGCCCGTTACCTAGAATGGAATAGGGCTTACGAGTAGAAAGTACAAGATAACTGATTATAGATACCACAATAGGAAATGGAATAGGTGAATTGATGTTGACCTCTTCGAAGAGTGATAGGTACATCAAGGCCACTAGGGGAAGCATCTATAGAAGAAGACGATATCGGTGTCGAACTGGGATTATGGGAACGAAGTCCTCTAGAGTAAATATTAGTGAAAAGTGGTATGAACTGAGGCATCATTGATGGAGTGAATATGAATTGATGATGTGATATATGAAAAACTCATCAGAATCATGAGAGGATTTAGGAACCGATGAGTCACCAAAGAATATGGAGTTTTCATGAAAGGTGGCATCAGTAAAAACAATGTACATGTTTAGAAGAGGGAAAAAATATTGATACCCAATTACAAATGAGAATGTCCTAGAAAGGCACACATTAATGACTTAAAAGTCTAGTTTAGAAACCTGTGGATAAGTACTATGAACAATATAAGTACACCCAAATACACGTAGTTCAATGGGAAAAAATATTTGATTGGAAATAAAACTTAATAGGATATCTTATTCTATAAAATAGTATAAGACATTAGTTTGAAATAAAAGACATACAACAAAAATTACATCAACTCGGAATAATTTGAGTACTTTAGTTTGAAATAAAAGAGCTCTAACTATCTCAAAAAAAAATCTATTTTTCCTTTCAGCTACTTTATTTTAATAGAGTATCGACACATGATGATTGGAAAAGCATCCAATTTTACTACATGTATGTTTGAAAGGTGCAAAAAAAAAAATCTTTGACATTATCGTTTCTCTGAGTTTTAACAGAAATATTGAATTGAGTTTTAGGGTCTATTTGGCGGAGATGCAGCTTTTAAGCTGCAGCTGCGCTGCCCTAGGAAGAAGCTGTGGGGAATGTGACTGTCTGTTTGTTTCAGCTGTTTCTGGAAAAATAACTATTTTGCCCCTATTTTGTATGAACATCAGAAAACATTACTTTTTGTTATTGACATATATGATCACAATCAACCATAGTCAAACCTAAAAAAATCAATATATTGAATAAAAAACCACAAAAATTGATTCACTAAAATTTCATTTTGCTCTAAAATTTCATGAGCTCTAATCATTTTGCTCTAATTGATTAGCAGTGTGTTCCAACTTCTCAGCCACAATGGAAAATGGAAAAACACAATTGCATACTTTTTAAAAGTGAAAATTTATGACACTAACTTGGTATAAATGTAAATATAAAACTTTAGGTGTTAGGGACAAAAAAATTGTGAGGAAAATTCCTTTTTTTTTCACTTGGACAAAATGATTAGAGCAATTCACGAACCCTGATAGATAGTTCAAACAAGTTTCTTGATGGTAAATGAAATTAACTATCTTATAGGAACAATGAGAAGACTTGTAACCCCTTCTTGGCCAAGCTCGACTGTAAATTCATCAGTATAAGGTCTCAGCCACTGCACAGGCCCAACTCGGCTCTAACAATACGCAGAAGATTAACAAGGTCAAGCAAATTACAAATGATTTTGACGCAGAGAAAAGGAAAACTAACTAGTAGCAAAGTGGTCATTTGGGATCAATGACTAATCCAGTCTTCAAAATCATACAAAAGAAAACAATTTATAATTTTCAACTTAGCCTAATGTTTGCATCTATTAAAACAAAATAGAAGAACAAACACAATTCATTCAAAAATAATAAAAAATAAAAAGATATAAAGAATGGAATTTCACAAAAAAATATGAGAACAAATAAAACCCTCACAACACTTTTAAGAAACAGCAAAAAAAAAAATCAAAATACAATGAATTTGACCAGTAAAATACAACAGGGTAGTCAAACAAGGCCTGTCTGAAAGCAAAGGCAACAGCTTGATTTTGTAAAAAGAATTATAAGTTCTATTTTACATATAGAAAGAGGCAGAGATCTCCTCAACTTTTTGATATAATATTCTGAAATGCAGCGGTTGAAGCAGGATTCATAGCTCATGCCAAAGAAGATTGATGTCCTCGAAGATTCTAAACGGTGAGGCTATTGTTATTTAAAGATATAGATTTTCCTTCCATCATTTATGCAAAAAATAAGAATAGTTTGTCTGAAACTAAAAGTTGAGCTAATGCTGCAGGAAGCTGATGGGTGAAGACCTTGAATCATGTTCAGTGGAGGAGCTGCATGAGTTAGAGACTGAACTCGAGCAAAGCATAAGCAAAGCTGATGGGTGAAAACCTTGAATCAAGCCATTGTAACCTTTTTAAAAGATGTAACTACTATATTTTAGGTGTTAAACAGGCAATACACGAATTAAGTGGTATGCATGTAATCCCCCATTTTAATTTTATTTCACTTCTTTTAGTTGAATCTGACAAAAACCTTTCAGAAAACTGGAGGAAATATGGAAAACCAACAAAACATCATGGAAGCAACTGTTAACCTCAGAAAGGCCTCATACGCTCATGCCATCGCCATTGCAAGAAAAGGGTAGATTGGCAGCGCCACAAAAAGCAATCCAACAGCCTTATAGAGCGGTCATAATCTCTTTCAATGATCCTAGAACAGCATAATAATAGAAAAACCGCATCTTCTTACCGAGATCCAAATTCCATAAGAAATCCAAATCAACTAAAGCATTGACATTCGAATATTGGGCAAATAATGTGGCAAAAATTGGAACGAAGAACTACAACAACACCAAAATACAAAGAAAGAATCGGGAGGGGAGATACCGAGCAGGAGTTGTGGTTTCGATCGGGATTCCATAGCCGAGCGACGGGGGAAGAGGATGCAGCGAGCGGAGGAGGGGCGGTAGGCTTTCGCGATAACCTCGAGAGCAGCGGTTTCAGGATCGTCAGATTCTCTCGAGAAGCTAGGGTAGAAGCCTTCCGCGAGGTTTAGGGATCGCTAGTGTAGTGCAGGTTTCGCAAGACACTGGTTGGCGAGGCAACGGTACTATTATCAATCAAGAACGTGGGGCCGCGGGGTCGATCTCGAGGCCTGCGTTTCGACTACTCTAGCTGCGAGAGGCCGCCAACGCCGAAGAAAGCGAAAAAAAAAATTTGCTTCGCATTTTGGGGCGGCACCGCTCGAAATAAGCGGACCCAAACGAAGCCTTAATTTCAGTACGAAAAAATAAAAGTGTGATAGTAACTCAATACGATATTTCATAAAGTAAAGCCAAGTCATATAGAAAAATTGTTCACACATGTTCTAAAATATTAAAATTCATTAGATAAAATAGAACAAGATCCCTATACATCAGAATGAACCAACTCAAAATTATGCCTAACTCTTTTATTAATAATGGAAACATAAGACAAATGATGGCATTTAGCAAATTGACATGATTCACAACCTAAAGATGATAATTATTGAAACTGAGGGCATAAATTTTTTAGCATGTGTAGAGACGGATGCCCTAATCGACAATACAACTGAAACGGAGATACAATGTCAGAATAGGCTATGGGTCAAGATAGTCTGTTGTCAAAAATGTAAAGCCCCAAATTATAGCATTTATCGATGATCTTCTTCATCATAAGATTCTAAAAAAACAGTGGTCAGAAAATGATAAGAAACAAAAATTAAGAGCATGCGTAATCATGCTAATAAAGAAAAGATTAAAAAAGATTTGAGGTAAACTAAAGAAAGACTTTAAAATTAATATGGGTGTAACATTGCAAGAACCAAGAATATTAGAGAAAGATCTTTATTTATGAAAGGTGAAAATGAGTTTTGGATTATCTGTCGTGTAATCCGTGACAATGACCCTATTGTGTGGAAGATGAAAGAAGACAAATATTATGGTTACCTAACTTAACAAAAGCAATGATAGAAGGAAATTTCTTAGATGTTTCCTAAAATTAGATGAATTTAGCATATTTATCTATTGAGATAAAAAAAATACAGACCATGAGATGTCCCATTAGTAGTGACCATGTAAGCTGACAGTGAACTGGAAACCTAACTGTTGACAAATTTTCATTGTATGAACAAGGTTCATGTTTGTAGTACAAAGCTACCCTAAAGCCTTGATTTTTATAATTCGAAATTTCACTTTCATAATTGCCCTGAAACTAGGTTTACTAATGCTTGTATTTTTCTTGCTAGCAATAGCACTAGATTGTTGCATGAATGAAGCCTAAGAACTCGGAATAGTATGCAACACTCCAGTGTAGGTTTCCCTCATAATAGTAATATGTGATTTGACATTTTAATACTGAGAGTTGAGGCCAGTTAGAAAACTAATAATAGTCATTTGATCTCTTTGAGCTGGCTAAATCTAGACATCAATACTGAAGGGTAATAGTGCATGCAATTCTTCATATACACATTTAAAATACACGTGATACGTGTTAAGTGATTGATCTTGTTGTTTAGCTTAATAGAGCTCCTTGCATATATCAAAGATTCAAGAAATATTCTCTTAGTCCCAAAAAACATAAATGTTAATTCCTCCACATCTTTAACACAGGCACAATGAAGATGAGCATATTGATTAGGTTCAAAAGAGTTCCACATTTGTATCAACAGTCGGGCATCAACTCTCATCCACTCGGAATAACTTGGATTAATCTCAGCTAAGGGATTGTCAATGAGGTAACTCTTATAGGAATACTTCTTAAATAATTTCACAAATGTATTCAAATTAAAATAATTGACGCCATTTATTTTTTCATCCATAATTGTAGTCACTGATGAAACCAACTTGCCACAACATATCTTAGTTCCACAGTCATAATTATCACCAAATATTCAAGGAGACTAAATCAATACTAAATGAGGAGCCAAAGGGCAAGACGAATGTCAAAGACGAACGATACCGAGCCGTAGGAGACAAACGACTCCACGAACAAGAGCTGACGAAGCCGAACAAAGCAGCCGACAAGCCAGTGGAATTTGCGAAACCGATTAAATTGAACAAACTGACGACACCGATCAGGATGAAGAAGAAGCAGAACATAGCAAACGATGTCGATCAGGATGAAGGCGAAGCAAGCCACGGCAGATGATGTCGAACAGTGAAGCCTACGATACCAAGCAAACATAGCAGAACAATGTCGATTGACGCAGATAGAGCAGACGAAGACAACGACATGGAAGAAGTCAAACGATGCACGATGCCTTAATCCTATTGCAAGGTGAAGGTGACGCAAACAAAGCCAAACAAAGCAGGCAAAGTCGTGTGACTGACACCATGTGAAGGAAAACTTCCTATTTCTCTTATTCCCCAATTGAAAATATATATTACTTATTTATATACAAGACAATCTCTATAGATTAGGAATATCTCTAATAGAGGAAAAATCCTGCTATAAGATCTCTAATTAGGTTACTAATTTAATAGATTTCTTATAATCAAGCAAGCTTCCTCATATACAAGCTTGCTGATATACGACCATCATATATAAAACTTTCTATAACACAAGCACTCAAAAACAAGGGCAAAATGATACTATCACAGCTTAGTGGCATGATGATCAAATTTCGATGCTTTCCAGGCTCCTAACTCCAAATTCTTGACTCATAGATGAATTTCAGTTTAAAGTGTTTGTGAGAACTCAAAACTATTAATCCATATAAGAAACATTGATAATAATATTAATAAACTAAAAGTTTTATAAATAATTTTATGATTTAACTAAACCAGCCATATCAAATTGATTTAAAATGGGTGAATCTCTAAAAATAAATATATAATTTATGAAAATAATATAATTTTGAGAGCAAATTATATGACCAAAAGAATATATTTAAGTCACTTTTAATATGATATGTTCTAAATAACTAGTAAAAAATTATGCCTAAATTAACCTTTGTTAAGATATGTGAGTCAATCCATTTTAGGTTCTGAGAAAGCTATCCCTAAAATTTAATTACTCAAGACTGCTCTCTAGGAGGTAATTCCTTGTGGATGGGATCCCAATGCAGAGTTTTACCAAAAGCAAATCATAGCGTAGGTTCTAAAATTGACAACATTAAATCACCGGGTTAAGAAGTACTTATTTGCCATCGGGAACTAAGAGAACCCCTAAAATCACAACTTAAACTATGAAGAGACTATGGCAATGCACTCCCAATGACAAGCTGTGACTTACAAAGCGAAATGGGCAACAATATGAAGCACGGTATAGGTTTCTCTCCATAACTTTAACGAACCTTTATTTTGATTGATTGCTAAATTGCACTAATTGTACCCAACTATCAAAAAACTTGATGCAACGCCTCCAAAACATCTACATAATTCTTTCAAACATCAGAATAAAATCTCATTTGAAATGTTGTTGCTATACGAATAGTTTTACAACTAGGCTCATAAAGGAAAAGGCGACAACAGTATGATACTAACGTATAAGCATTTTTAAGTGTATTTCACTAAGAATGTTTTACCAAGGCATTCTTTGACATTTAAATTCTTAAGTATAACATCAGAAACCATCCACACTTATAGAATATTAAGACTAAGAAACTTAGACAAATTGAATTTTAATGTAAAATACTATTTTTAGAAAATTATTTGACCATTAACCTGAATAGAAATAAACAAGAATGTAAAAAAATAAATAAAACAATATTATAAAGCTCAACTTAAACAGATGTGTATGAAGATAGTGAAAGCTACTTCATCTGCAAGTAAATTCTCAGAAAACACCCTTCAGTAAACATACCCACGTTACATAAATTCACAATAGTAGTGCCCAAGAACTCTCTTATTCCTTACCAATCTTGTCACCTAATGGGTCCACCACATCAAACCTAAATAATAAAATGTCTAATAAAGTGGAAATCTACTGCGCTTGTCAGAATAGTGATAAACTTGTGCGCAAAACTAAATGAAGATGAAGAATGAACACACCCAAGATCATAATCACGAGAAATGCAATATTATGTGATTCAATGATATTGACCTGCGCCATGATCACGTAAAAATCAAATATTTAACTAAAATTTAAAAATAGAGCTCGTCAAAGGATTTTTTTTATATGTAATAAGATAAATATATAGATTCCACTTTTTCAATGATTGATGGAAAACATAACTACCTTTCATGAAAATAAGGGTTAAACAAGGAGAATAAGACAACGGTGCCCCTTCTATTATCATAGCCCATTCTCAGCTATTAAATATTTTTCCTCAATTCAATCTCTACCATTGAAGCCTCTGCTTACTATGGCTGAAAACTTAAGCCTCTCTCTCTCTCTCTCTCCCTCTCTCTCTTTCCACTTCTCTCTCGCCCTCTTCTTTCTATCTTTTTCTGGTTATGAGATATTTCTCAGCGCAATAAAAACATCTCCTTATATCATGCTAAAAGCAGATGGATAGCAAGCTTGAATTTATCAGATAAATTATGGTGGGCATCATAATATTGATGTTAAGTGGAGAATAAAAGGCATTAAATTTATAGGAGTTGGGTCGAGATGGTAGATGGAACCTTGTAGAGTTGTAGGACTAAGACAAAAAAATTTATCTTCATATCTTAATAGATCAACTAATGCATGTAGTGACACAACCTTTAGATTTCAGGCTTCAACAGCCATGCTTTTAATTACCCCTTCTTATAAATGGAAAGCTTCTTTATTGCATCTATGCCTTTACAATTTAGATTACAGGTCATTAAAATCATGCATAAAATTTTGATATCGAATGAAATAAAAAGTTGTTGCACCTGAAGTCCAAATGTTGTCTGATCCACATAGCTAAGGACATTTATTTTCATGAATTAAACAAAAAATTTATAAAAACAAAAATACAAGGTGCTAGAGTGGATGGTAAAACCTTCATTATGGCATCTTTCCAGTAGTTGTATCTGCTTTTGATCTCGCGAATAAATAGTCCTAAAAGAAATATCGTGTCAAAAACAAAAAACGTGGAACATTTCAAACTGTGTATGGATAAAATCATGTAGTTCACACAAGGTACAATGAATGGAAGGACTAAAAAATTACAGTCAAATTTTAATTTCCGACATTTTACATCAAGCTGCTTGCGTATAAAACGAGCAAGTTCACAAACAACAAAAAAAAATTCAGTAATATTTTCCGAGGAATTAGATGACGGATTGCCTACAATTTTTCCGAGAAAACATTTATTCTTCTTTTTTTAAAAGTTGCGTAAATCTCCCTTCTATTTGAAGTTACATATGAGAGGTTTGCCGGTCGGATTACCAGAATCTAAAGCGAGAAGCAGAGACAGCCGGAGAAGCTAGAAAGAAATCAATGATTGAGTCCTTTCTGCTTCCAATCCCTATCACGTCCACCGGACCATCAGCGCTATGCGGATCGAGGCTCTGGGCAATACACAGTGTAGGAAGAAGAGTTCTCTGACGACGATGATGACGACACCAGAAGCCCGAAGGTACGGTGGCGAGGCTCGTTGGAGGAGTACGGCATTGAGGCCGAATAGAAGGGTAATACACGGCGTGGGAGGCCCTTGCAGCCACGAACTCCATGGATGGAACGGAAAGAGACGAGATCAGAGTGGAGCCCTAAAGTGATGGTTAGGGCTGTCAAAAAGGCTTGTGCGAAGAGCTCGTGTTCGGATTGTTGGGCTCGGAGGTTGAGTTAATGATTCCAACACAAATAATAAGTATTTGTTCCTTTATATTGTTTTGACTCGAAATATTATTAATTAATTATATATATTTGATAACTAGTATTTTTAAAAAATTTAATTGTCTGACTACAATGCTATAAAAATTTATAATCAATTAAAAGAATTAATTAAAAAAATAGAATAAAAATTATTAAATTAAATTCAATTGATGTTTTAAATTTTCTCAATTCTTAACATCTTATGACTTTAGGGTTGTCAAACAACTTTCTGTTCGTGAACGGCTTGTGTTCGGCTTGCTAAGCAAAGAGCCGAACACGAACACACTTTTTGAGCTCGAAATATTCGGCTTGTTACACCCCTAGTGATGGGCATATATCTGGACTTATAAAAATTAGGGATATTATTCTAGGGTATTTTAAGTATCTCACATAAGCTTGGATTTTTACGGATGCACGCCTTACCAATCCTGAATTTCATTATTTGACATTGTTGGAAAGTAAGAATTGAATTGTTGGAAAGTAAGAATTGAATGCTGAGTTTGTAAGGATAAAAAGTAGGTGTTCTATATGTTAATTCCCAAAAGATTGAGGGGGTATGTATGCCAATTCTTATGTATTTTTATGTCTCACATGTAAATTTTATTTATATATTCATACCACCTCAAATATATATATATATATATATATATTTATATATATATGATGTGTGTTAGGATTCATAGAGTAGAGTAATGAATTATCGTCTATACATTGTACGAGAATTTTGCGCAGTAAAAAAAATAGCATATTGAGACACAAAAAAGTTTATGTGAAACTCATAAATGAAAAAAACCAAGGGATGTGGCTTAGTTAGAATAATTCACTTGAATTGATGATTATAAGCATAGGTCTTTGTCTGGCATATTGAAGACAATTACACAATTTATGAAGACAAAAGAAAATAATTTATTGAAACTCCAAATGTTTTTATATGGAAAGCACAAAAATTAAAAAAACCAAGGGAACTGACTCAGTTAGAATAATCTACCATGAATTGGTGATTATAAGTACAGGTCTTTGTCCGTCATACGGAAGAGGATTACACAGTTTATCAAAAAATAATATCTGTTGCACAATGGTTGGGGGTGACTGTAGCTCATTAAAATAGATAAGACTCCAATATCCTGTCTTTCCAGGTGTGTTGGTGTCTAGTGTTCAAGAAAACATATTGTTCTGTCGGGTGCTTTCACTGTTACATATTATATGTTGTGATTATGCAACACACGTTATAACTCCTTGAGAAATTTCATCACAAAGACAAGGTAGTGGTCGACGGTGGTTAATGGCAGCCAGCGAGTAATGGTCGACGACTACAGGAGAGATCGCCGTTCACCGAAGCTTCGATGTAGAAAACAGGGGTTTCACTCCTCCAAGCTCCTGTCTTCCTATAGCTCAGAGTTCAAGTCTCCTCTCAACAAGAGGTTGGGCTGTCTTTATAAAGTCTTCTAGAAGCCTATCAACAAATAAAGAAAGAAAATGGATCGCTTTATCAAATGGTATAGAGAGATCTCATCGATCAAACTGTGTTTTGCAAATATTTGAGTACCTTAATGCTATCAAAATTGAGTGATATTGAATGCGTTGAATTTATCTCATCGAGACTCAATTTGACTATAAGCTTGTCAGATTTGAAATCCATTTCTTTCTAATTTGGCATCACAAACTTTTAAAAATGATTTGATGGCTTGATTTGGGCTTGATTTGACTCAAATTTGACAATTTTTTGTGTAATTTTATTTGTTTCATCAAGTTGGTCGTTGACTATTTGACTGTATGTCTATTAAAATTAGAACTCTGGATTTTTTTTAATCGAAGTTTAAATACGTATTGCTAAAAAAATTGTCTCAAGATTTGTCACATGCCTCAAGATTCATGTCTATAATAAAAATTTGTTGATGGCTTACTAATTGCCCTCCAATTTTTGGGCAAGACTAACATCCTCATCCAAAAATATCAAAATCTAAAATTCTTATATATATATATATATATATTATTTTTTAAAAAAATATGAAATCAAACTGATCTCATATATTTCAATATATATATATATACATACATACATACATATATAAAAAGTTCACAAGCTGAATTGGGATGGGGTGCCTTCCTTTGTTGTTGGTCTTCGGTTAAATCCCTAAGCTGACCGAAAAATACAAAAATATTTTGCGAGTCGACGATCAGTGAAGGTGGAGTGCGATGCATGTCAATCATGCTAGCCAGCCTGATTTCAATCAAAATTTAGAAGGCAACTTTTTCATTATATATAAGTTTTCTTTAGAATTTGTCTCTTTCAATAATCTTGCAAATTGATTGAAGCCCTCTCGAGTCATGTTAAACTCTATTTTAATTTTCAACATTCTGAGAGCTATAGATAGGATAGTATTTGATGTACAACCTTCTCACAATGGTCCTTATGCCGCAATCAATAATTCATGAAACAACTGAGATTCTTGGTTGGGTGGCTCTTTCTCGATTTGACTCCTATAATAAAGTCTTGTTCCATTAAAAACTATTTCTACAAATCAACTTGGGTCAAACAAAGGTTGAGGATCATAACTCATTGAACTAGCATGGTTAAATGAGTCAACCTCGTCATGTGAAGTTCAAAACCAATAATCAAGTTGAAATCCTTGACGCTATAAAGCATACATTATTTCATCATGCAATAAGTATCGTCGATTTTGGTGCTTCAAACATGGAAGCCAAAAACTTAACCTCAAATAGGTCGGACTTACTTTCACAAATGTCTCAATAACATTCATGAACTTTTTCAATGAGTTCCTTTCTATCTGAATATAGTCTATTATGCATCAATGACCTTGAAATATGGATATCCATAGATAACTAATATATATGATAAAAGAATTCATAAAACGTAACGACTACATAGAAATATTATTTTTTTTTCATATATAAATAAAATAGCTAAAAGTCTTGCATATTATACACGACACTCAAATACTTGAATCATATTTCTCAAGAATTATGTGATGCCCATGCCAATTTGCCTTTGAAAAGTGGCATTTACATGCATGGCGGACAATTCTTATGTATTTACATATCTCAAATCTAAACTTTCATATTTACGCGCATAACATTCAAAGCTTTAAAATCATGATCACTATTACCACTTTTTAAAAGCATAATACATGTTTTCATTCATAATTTTAAAACACCGAAGTGTCATATATGTAAATTTGAAAGTTTAAATGTGTGAATAATTAAAATATTTAATAATTGTGTGCTAGGTATGTGAATTTGCCCTTGAAAGGGGGCATTTACATTCATAAAACACACTTCTTATGTATTTACATATTTCAAATATAAATTTTCATATTTTCACACATAGCACTTCAAACTTTAATATTACATAAAAAAACAACACTGCTGTCGATTTTTAAAAGTGAAATACACATTTTGCATGTATTGATTTAAAGAACCAAAATGTCATGCATGTAAATATGAAAGTTTAGGTGTTGAGATAGACAAATACATAAGAATAATGTGCTAGGTATGCAAATTTGTGATTAAAATTTAGAAGTTAGATATGGAAAGACCTAAGAGATAAGACCTATGATTATAACAATGAGATACATCATCAAAATTATAGAAAAACCGAATCAAAATTTTGAATTTCTCTAAAACACTTAATCTCAAACTATAATAAATCTAAAGGTTAAAATTGAATAAAAATTTTTAGGAATGGTGGAATCAATGCTACCTATGATTTCAGCGTAAGAACTCGAGAAATATTAAACTTGACGAAGATGGCAATCCGGAGTGGTCGGTTAGCTCTTGAGCAAAGGCGCATGTGAAAAATAAAATGAAAATTTTATGAAATCAATTTGATATAAGCAGCCTTTCCAACGACTTTCCTATTGTCTTTGACCGTTGGTTTTTAAATGCACATATTAATCAAAATTATCTTTATGAAACTGATGCGTACCAAAAAATTTGCGGCGTTAGAGTAATGGATTATCGTCTTAGCGTTGCACGAGAGTTCAACACACACAGACAACATAACAGAAGTAAGCAGGAGGAGACATCTCAACTTTTTACATGAAAAACCATTGAAAGAGGGAAAAACTATAGGGTCTAGCCAGGTTGAAATAATCCACTATGAATGATGAGACACATGTCCATTCTTCTCTTAAATTAGAGAAGATGAAATTACAAAGTTATGTAACTATAATCAGGCTGCAATTCTTGAAGACAACATATTGCAAGGGTCATTGCTGATTGTTGTGGAGATAGTTATCCATTGTTAGTATTTTAGATGGTTGCTCCAAAAGCGTTGATTGACCAAAGAAACTGTAGTAAGTAGTTATGAGAGTTGTGGAACACATAGGCCGTAGTGGCGAGTATGGATGATGTCCATAGGTCGTCGTCGGGAGCCACATGAGTTGTGAACCACGTAAGCCATAGGGGCGAAGATGAATGATATCTGTAGGTTGCAAGGGCTGGAGTCGGGAGCTACATGAGTTGATGACCACGTAGATCATTTGAGCGAGCATGAATTACGTTTGTTGGCTGTCGAGGCTGGATTCGGGAGTTGCACGAGCTGTGAACCACGTTCATAAGCCGTGAAAGCCAAAGTCGAGAGTTGCATGAGCTGATGACCACGTAGGTCGCGTGGGTCAAAGTCGGGAGATGCACGATCTGTGAACACTATAGGTCGTATGGGTGAGTATGAAAGACGTTTGTAGGTCGTGGGGGCTAGAGTCTAGAGTTGCACGAGCTATGAACCCCGTAGGCTATAGGGGTGAGTATGAATGACGTCCATATGTAGCATGAGTCAAATTTGGGAGCTGCACGAGCCGTGAACCACATAGGTCGTTGTTGACACGTGGACAGTAGTGAAGAGCTCATGTCCAACGAAGATGGCTGACGACGTATGTGTGGTGGTGATCGACGGTGACAGACGATGGTGGCTGACGACGATCAATGTTATTGTAGATGACCGGCGGTGGTCGACGACGGTCGGGATGATGTTGGACTTCAACTCCTTCTCATAGAATCTAGTTCTGCCTGAAGCTTCAAGTCTCTCCTTTCTTGTGAGGGGTGAGACTCTTTTTATAGTGTTATGTGTGTCATTAATGCATAAATATGAATCATTTTGATCGGACGGTCCAGAGAACCTCCTTCGATCAAACAATGTTTAATGGACATTTTAGTGCCTTAACGATATTAAAATTGCACAATCTTGGGCTCCTTAGATTATTTTTGTTGAGACGCTCGATTTAACTATAAACTTGTCCGATTTGACAATCGCTTAACCTTCCAAATGAGTCCAAAAATCTTTCAAGAATGATTTAATGATTTGATCTGGGTTTGATTTGGTTCGAATTGGAATGAATTTGATATCATTAGGTCTATTTCATCGAGCCAGCCAGTTTAACTTTAAGTTTGCTGAAATCGGAGTTCTGGATGAGTTTTTATCAATGTTTGAACATTCTTTGCTCAAAATATTATCTCGAGATTCCATGTCGTGCTTCGAGATTCGTGTCGAATAATGAAATTGATTGGTGACACATATTTATGATACCTAGATGTCACAAGTGTAAATAGAATACAAATACTTAAGAATTGTGCGGTATGTATGTAAATTATTCTTTTTATTTTCATGTACATTCGGTCATTGGATCTCCATTTATCATTACAGGCAGTCAGCTCCTCCCGCGAAGCTTCACTTTCTGCCCGTCTTCGGCTTAGGATTCTGACACCATAGCTCCAATCATTCCTTCTCCTTCAATCTACTTAATTTACACTCACCCAAGCTTCAGCCTGCAACGGCATAATGGTGAACATCAACGCAAATATTATTCTTCCCACTCTCCTCCTCTTCCTATCCCTCACAAACACTACCCTCTCCCTTCCCCTACTTTCCATAACCTCCATGAACCAGACTCAAGTGTACATCGTCCATGTCCGGCACCCGGACGGCCCCATTGAGCTCCTCTCCCCCGACGAGCGTGAGAGCTGGTACCATTCTTTCCTCCCCAACAACACCCTCGACTACGGCGAACCCCGCATGGTACACACCTACTCGGTCGTCATGTCCGGCTTCGCGGCCCGCCTAACACCCAACGAAGTCAAGTTCATGGAGTCCATGCCCGGCTTCCTCTTCGCCCACATTGATGAACCGTTCCACCTCCGCACCACCCATACTCCATCCATCCTTGGTCTCGACCAGTACAGCAGCCTCTGGCAGAAATCCAAACAAGGTGTTGTCAAAATTTAAATTTATAAAAGCTCATTTTAGGTAAAAAATGAAGAGAATTTTGAAATAGTGATTTAAATAATTCTAGAATATGTAATTAATGATATTTATGCTTGGAAATTAAAAAATATTCTATAAAATCAATAATTATTATATAATTGAAACTTGTTGTCATAAAATAAATAAATAAGAAGGTGAATTTACAAATGTTCCACTTCTCTTTTGGCATTGAATCCATTATGGTAGCCTCATATTTTTCAACAGGTGAAGGCATTATCATCGGTGTTTTGGATAGCGGCATCACTCCCAACCATCCCTCCTTCGCCGACCACAACCTACCTTCCCCTCCTCTCAAGTGGCGCGGCCGTTGCGAGCTCCCTGCCGGCTCATCTTGCACAAACAAACTCATTGGCGCCGTAGCGATCACCAAGAGTGGCAAAGATACACCCATTGATGAAAAGGGCCATGGAACTCATGTCGCCGCTATCGCCGCCGGCACCCCTGTTCCCGACGCCAACGTCCTCACCCAGGCCCAAGGGACCGCCTCCGGGATGGCCCCGCGATCCCATCTCGCAATCTACAAAGCGTGCTCTAAGAAATCCTGCACCAACAGCAACATGATTAAAGCCTTTGAGCAGGCCATTATCGACGGTGTTGACATAATCCAAATCTCCATTGGTAAGGAGAATTATGATTACAGCTCGAACGGAGTAGTCATCGGTTCTTTTGCGGCGCTAAAAAATGGAATCTTGACCGTTAACTCTGCCGGCAATAGTGGCCCTTTTAAAAGCATCCTAGACAACGACGTGCCATGGATCCTTCACGTCGGTGCTGCTAACATCGACCGTCGTCTCACTGCACTCCTGAAGCTCGGTAACGGCATGGTGTTCGTGGGTGTTTCAGGTTTTCAGCCAAGCAATTCAACAGCGGTTGACCTCCCGTTGGTATACCCTGGAGTGAACAAGACCCAGGAGACATTGTCGTGTCAGAATGGGTCTATGGCTGGCTTCGATGTGGCCGGAAAAATGGTTATTTGCGGCACTGGTTACATTGACATATCAAAAAAGGCTGATGTCGTTAAGGAAGCTGGAGGTGCTGCCATCATAGTCCTCAACCAACCATGGGAAGCTTATACACTGAACCCGGACCCCTGCAGCATCCCTGCTATCCATGTATCCTACAACGATGCCCTTAAGATCCTGAACTATTTTGACACCGACCGCAATCCTACAGGGACGATAACATTTAAGGGCACTCAATACGGAATTCGGCCATCGCCGACCGTTGCCAGCCTTTCTTCAAGGGGGCCGAGCTTACTCAATGGCGGGATTCTGAAGCCGGACGTCATTGCTCCTGGAGTGACCATTCTTTCGGCATGGCCCTTCAAGGTTGGGCCTAGTTGGGCAAGCTCTAGTGACACTGCATACTTCAGTATTAAGACTGGCACTTCTATGGCAGCGCCCCATGTATCGGGCGTTGCGGCGCTGCTGAAGAAACTGCACCCTGATTGGTCCCCTGCGGCGATCAAGTCTGCCATAATGACTACAACTTATACAGAGGATCGTGATGGGGGTAAAATCACCGACGATGGTGATGAAAAACGAGTTAAAGCTAATGCCTTTGCTGTTGGGGCGGGGCATATAAACCCATCAGCGGCTAGTGATCCAGGACTTGTTTATGATCTGACTGACACAGATGATTACATTCCTTACCTTTGCAGCTTGAAAGGGTACCGAAGTCCCATGGTCACTCGTATTGTGAAAAAGTTTGTGACGTGTGGTATAAAGAAGATGGGAGCGGAGGAGGTGAACTACCCGTCGATACAGGTGTCAATGGGGTCTGCAGGATCGAAAACAAAGAGCGTGCCACGAAAGGTGAAGAACGTCGGCGAGGCAAGCTCGAGCTACACGGCGAAAGTGGAGAAGCCGAGCGGTGTGGAGGTTGTTGTTAGGCCGGAGATGCTCAAGTTTTCGAGCAAAGGTGAGGAGCAGAGCTTCACAGTGGAGTTCAGCTTGACAGGGAAGGGACAATTGAGCAAGGATGATGTTTTGGAAGGCAGGCTTATGTGGGTATCGCAATCAGGGGGAAGGGTGGTGAGCAGTCCCATTGTCGTCACAGCATGAGCTGCAATCTAAATAATATTGATAAGTTGGGTTTTGTAACGTGAATAATTGTTATGGACATGAGTGAAACTAAAGGACACATATCATAAGATTTTAAATTTTGTTTCTTAATATTATATATTAATGATTATGTACCTATTTTTCTAAAACTTGTTTGCTAGAATTCTCATTTATGTGAGCGCATGACATTTAATGAATCCATTGAGATTACATGAATTTAAGATTAATCTTGCCCATGCATAACACCAATAACTAGAGCTTGCTTTCAAGCTTTGAAAGATTAAATGGTGAAGCTTAGAGATAAGTTAGGGTTCATGACTTGTGTTAGGGTCTAACAAAAGAGAAGATGGGTGTGGAATTAGAATCGAGAAGAGAGAGAGAGAGAGAGAGAGAGAGAGAGAGACAGAACAATAAAACTTCTTCAACAATGGAATTTGAAAATTTTAATAAACAACCCAAAATTAAGAGAGAGAAAAAGAGATGATTTCATAAAATATGTTTAGCCAATAATACTTTCATTGTCCGAGAAACAATATTTATAATTTGCTTAATATTTCAATAGGGCTAGTAATAGTAAATGCTGTGAAATTTAGGGCGAAGAAAAACACAGAAACGACACAAAACCAGAAGAACACAAAAATTTAACGAGGTTCGGCAATGATGTCTACATTCTCGGGAGCAGAGCGGCGAATTTCACTATTCATAGGGGGAGTTAAATTACATACCCAATGGTTACACATATATATAGATATATAAAAACCCCATAGATAAATTACCAACTCGCCCTCGCTCCTCCCAACTCACAAAATATGAAGAGACATAGCTCTTCACCAATAGACACACCTCTTCACTTCAAGAATTGAGTCATACCTAACAGTAAATGCCAACTTTGCATGGATTGATATGAAATATGTCTTTTGAAGGTGGCTAATTCTTTCATCTTTAGGAGAACTTATCATGCATCTTCATTTCATGGGACTCCATTGACATTGACATCTTTCAAAATTGAGTAATCTTCCTAAGAAGATACTTATAATTGGTACTCATGTTCTCCTACAAAATGATTCTTTAGCAACCCTTGGAATTGTGAATTTTTTAATATGATAAATTGTTTTTAAAATTAAAATTGGAAAAATAAATATATTTGGTTGAAATTCAAGAAAAATGCATTAGATCAATTTAGGTAAAAATTTTGGAGGGGTCACACATGCCCTTGATTGTGATTTTTTATATTTGGTAGTGGCATAATGTTCAAGAATAATACATGTTAAAACATATTGAATCACATTGTATATACTCTTGTAAAATAACTATGGTTTAAAGCATCAACAAATTTTGTGTTACCCATATTTCTATTATGTTGTCTTATAATAGTACGAAGATAATCAGGATCTTTTAAAAATTAGAATATGAAATAAAATATATATGAGATATAATATTTTTTTGATTAATGGTTTGCATTGGAACTATGTACTAATTCAAACGGCGGAGGCGATGAACAAAGCCGAAGGAGAAAGAACGCTCAAAGTAGAGCTATAGTTTGCGGGAGGCATAGTTTAGGTCTCTAACGTCGAATTAAGTTTCAGCTCGACACAACTCGTTAGCGTCATTTCTTCCAATTTTGGTACTGCGGGACGACACTAACGGAATCGATAATTTTGCATCGGCTAATTAGACGCTAATTAACAATTTTCTTGTAGTGTTTAATTTTGATTATTGCGTTGAACACTATTTAGTGAAGCATCAATTTTTTATGTAATATGCAAACTGAATATCTGACTTCATGTATGAAATATGTAAGCATTATTGATTATGTTATAAACAATACTATAATGTAGGGGCATAATGATATTTTTATCATAAATAGTCGTAACATAGTTGCTGCATAACTGTGGAAAACAATATGACACACAACTTCTCCACATCAGTATAGTTCCCGCACAACATTTTTTAATAAACTGCAACTGCCCCAAACATATCCTGAACATCAAACAATTGCCATCAACAATTTTTTATATATGACAAAAAAAAAATATTAATAATATTCACAAGTTAACCCCATGACTCCACATAAATTTGAGCAACGCCCATTTACATTACTAAACTTATAATCAATAACTTTTGTTCAGACCCCACATTTACTGACCTTAATAAGCTATAAAATATACTTAATTCCTGTAATATTTAAATCAAACATAGAATATAAATTAGGAAGATTTACATGCATACCACTTAATTCCTATGTATTTACACACAAGCCATCTCGTCTATGCATGAAAAAATGCATTTCAAAATTTAAAATTTAAAACAATGTTATTTTTTATGTGATACGACTGATTTATTTGTTGTAAATTTAAAAATTAAAATTTAAGGGTTAGATATGTAAATATATAAAATTTGTGTGGTACGCTTATAATACCACAAAATTCTTATGAATTCACATATCTAATATCTAAAATTTTATTATATTTACATACAAAACTCTAAAATTTGTAATATCACATAAAAAATACAACTATTATTAGTTTTTTTAAAAATGAAATATAATTTTCCATGTATAGATTTAATATATATATATATATATATAATTGTTTAATATGTAAATATATAATAATTTTCTGGTATGTATGTAAATTTCGCATGCAATAAACTCGACATGTGGCCCATTCTAACGCTTACGAGCATTCAGTTGGCTCCTCGGATCTTCGAAGCTCCACCCCCGCCGCATCCCGCCGCAACGCATCAGCCGCGGCTCGCCGGTCGCCGTTGGAACCACGGTGTTCTTTGCGAACTTATTCGACAAGGTCCTCGACGAACCAGAAACCCTACGGTGGCCCTTGCACCCGCTCCTTTCAAGGGAGCTATTTTGCCGCAAATTGTTGTGCGTGGGGGGCGAAAGATTGGCGGAGAAGGAGCGTGGGAGTCCGCCGTAATGGCTGCATTGGTGTTTGTGGAGATCCCGATTGAGGTCAGGACTGGCGCCGCCTTCCTCGCAGAGGAGGCAATTGAGGCTCATCAGGATAAGGAGAGTTTTCTCTTTGTTAGGGTTTGTGGAAAGGGAGAGGGATTGAAGATTAGGATTTGGAGGGGGAATGGAACTGTTTGTCTTTTATTTTGAGAAAGGATTAGAGGCTCAGATTTCTTAAGCTAATTTTGGGTGATGGGGTGGGGAGCTTATCTCTTGGTTTGATGGAAGTTATATGCATGTGTGGATCATATTGTAAATAAAATTGATGGTAGCCATTCTTTTGTGGTAGGTTTTGATGTATGAGTTTGACCAAGTTAAATATTTGAACAGAGTTTGTTGCATGATGAAATTAAATGTGCTGCATGCATGCTAATTTCGTTGGCATTAGGATAATTATTGGGTAGGCAAGTCAATATGGGTTAATATGAGGTTTTGTTAGGTTGATTAATTTTGACTTATTTTCAAAGCTTGGCTGGAGTCATGATGGGAACAATTGGTCGCACGGTGTAAAATAAATTTACTATATTCAATCAATTACTAGTTACTATTTAATTAATGAATGAGTCATTAATCAAATTTAATTTTAAACAATGTATTTAACTTTATCTCGTTCCTAGTTGAACGCGTATTTTATAAAATTATCTCTTATAACGCTCATCATTAATCATTTATCTAACGTGAAAAGTTAGTTTAACATAACAATGAGCTAAATAAGCTAATAAATACTCATACTCATAAACCACAATAATACAAAAGTAAAGAAAACAATATACATGACAATCGAGTTTTTAAAAAATCAATAAAAATATTTGATGTTATTCAAATAACTTCACAATTTCAGAAGCATATCAATATCGTTATGTATATATACAACCGTCACACGAGCACCTTCTAAATATTGATTTAATTAAGACACATAAATATCAATATTTTTTTTCATATACGTGCACGAGTATCTTAGTGTCTCCTGTTAGTACCATCAAGGGGTGACTCCATCATAATGAGTTATGCACATATAAACAATCAAATATAAGTTATGTATTCATCCCAATCAATTCAACATATTGTATAAAATATACACAAAATGCATGAGAGTAAATAACTACAAACATTCATAAGAATATGACAATTAAAAAAAAAATCTCAATCAGAATAAAACATGTGCAAATGTCATTAACTACAAAAATAATTGAGTAGAAATAATTTTTTACTATAGATTTAAAATAAGAGTACTCACTTCGATGTCGACTAATTTGAGTTGAGGTCGACTTGTTTAAAATTGGAAGCCCAACATGGTATTAAATTTAATTAATTTAATATTTTTAAAAAATTATTAATTTTTCATTATTTAAATATTAAGTTTCATTATTTGATTTTAATGCAATTCCTATTAAATTCATTAATTACCTTTATACTATAAACCTAAATTTCTTTATCAAAGTGTGCTCGGGCGAATCTTCTTTTCCTCTAGTTTGCACCCTTAGTTTCCTTCTATCCCCATTCAAATATGAATATCTAACCAAAATGCCTAATGATTTTTTTATTATTAATATTACATTACGCGTGCGCGCGCATAATCATTTAAATAATTTATATTTTACCTTTATAAACTTTGTCGAGTAAAATCAGACACGTGAACCCCTCAACCCACATCACTTTCATCTCTGAGAGCTTAACCTTCGATTGAATTCCGCACAAAACCTTGGCTCTCATCACGTGCTTCCTTCCTCACACTGCCTCGCTCGACCTTCCATACCGTCTGGGTGCTATTCCCAAAGCTTCCTCATCGTCGGCTAGGCAAAAACCCTAAATGCTCGTGAGCACGGCGTCACTGGCTCGTCTCGACCTAGTGCAGCGAGTTAGCTGCTTGTTCTTCTCCTTTGACTTGATGGCATGAGATTGAGTTTTGCCATTAGACTCCACAATTAAGCCAACTAGGACATTTTATAGGCAAAAACCACCTCTTCAACTTCCTGACCTGTCGTTGTCGTTCCTCCCCTTTCAACTGCCCGAGACCCGTTCTTCCATTCATCTTCAGTTTCCGACTACTCGCATAATCTCTCCCCTGTTCTACTCTTCATTTCGCCTACCGACTCATCATTTTTT